TGCATTCCGCTGTTAATATACATTCACAACACACATGTTAGTGGTTCCAAAGGAGCTGTTACAATATATGCTCTGAATATGTGTTAGGAATAATACACAATATGCAACTAAGAGCATTCTATATTATGTAAATATAACATAGAATGCCCAATATTTTAAATACTTATTCACAGCATATTCTCTTGCAGCTCTAAAGGAGGAACTGCACCGTGTATTATGAACTCATATTGAAGATGTACAAAATTAACTAAATTTTTATAGATCTCTGGATGTGATACCATGATATTGCACAGTAATATAATACAGTCTTCTGTTCCACTGCATTATATATTCTATTCTAAAACAATTTTTAGAATTGTTTTAGTAATTTCATTTTCAATTCTGGGGGGGGGAAGGATTATTCCCATCCTTTTCATATGGAAATATTTTTATTTTTGTAGAATTTTAGATAGAATATTTTTCCAAATGTCATTTGATATTGGCAATTAGTTTGATACCGCTAAGAAAAGGTAATGTAAATGTCATGAATACTTACAACTGTAAGGAATGTGCATAAAATGCTAATGTAGAATAATGCCAGAACCAGATACTGCTCAGTTTGCAAAGCAAAAGGAGAGTTGTTAGCCTGAAAAGCAACAGAATCTTTCTTTTTTTCTTTTTTGCTTGCCATAAATACAGCCTATAGGATTGTTATGACTAAGTGATTCAGGTAAATTCATTAAGTTATTCTAAATTTACTATGTCTCTATATAGTTCATGTTACATTACTCTGAGGTCAGTTAGCCACACTTTTTAATCAATATTTCCTCAAACTTCCTGTTCAGTTAAATTAAAAGATGCTGTCGTCCATCCTTTGCCTTTGCTGAGATGAACTTTAATGTCAAGTTCCAAATAATTATGAATGCATTAAAAAACAGTACACAGTTTGAAACATTATTTTTTTGCTGAATTTCAAGATTCTTCTAAAGTCCTAAATAAGTCCTTTATTAAGGTGCAATATTAGCTGCAAAGTGAAAAGCTGGATAACTAAGGGGAAAATATGCAAATAAATTAACTATTGCAATCCAGCACACTTAGTTGTAATTGAATACTGGATATTTCTTGACTTATTTGTAGGAATGTAATGAATTACCAGTTGACATTTTGTTGTGATGAAACGTCAGTCTGCATGCTTCAGTATATGATCTGTTACTTTTTCATGTGAGATCTATTACCTGCTTGAGTGAGCTACTTGCTTGAGCTTGCTAAGGAATAGCTGAAACTACCATAAACCATGCCATGTGATGTGTTCTGTACTAAGCAGGATAAAGCTTGTTGAGCTGAATTCATCTTCATGCAACTCCTTGGAGTGCATTGGAGTTACATTAAAGTTATTTATCTCATAATATTTTGTTTTACTTCATAATTTATACATTTTAACAAAATCTTTGCCATCTGCGCTACAAAATATTTTACAGAAACAAAATATTTCTTATACAATTGTACTCCCAATAAACAGAAAAATAAAACTAGGAAAAATGCTTTGTCATATTTTAAAATTCATGTTTAGACTGAGTTTAATTCTCAATTGACACTCAAGCCAGCAAAAAGCACTTATTAATCCTCTTATTCCCTTTCTCCCCACTGTGGATTCCATCCAGTGCCAAAAAAAAAAAAATAAATAAAAATCAAACCTAGACAACAATCATATATGGTAGAAAGACTTCTTGTTCCCAGGGCAATACACAGCATTACTTGAAGGAATTGCTGCTCTAAAAGAGTATGTATTTCTTCATTCCATTTCTGGTTATGGGAAGAGTTAAACCTGCATGTCCCTAATTTCATTTTAGGCATCCTACTCTTTGTTACTGTTTGTGCTTTCTGGAGGTAGATTTCCTTGGACTAGAAGGGGTTGGTTGCCCTGTTCGGACCAGCTGGTGCCTTAGGAACCATGAATCCCACAACACTTCAGCGGTTATGCTTCCATAGCTGCATCTAGCTCTGTTCTGGCATGACAAAATACATGGCTTGAAACAGGATGTTTTGGAGAGGGTTAATATACAAACTAGGCTGTGAAAACCAGGAATCAAAAGTACTCCAAACCAGGCATGGTAGTTACCCTTTCACTGTGTTTTACCCATATACTGCATGTATTTCTGCTTTTGATTGAAATTTAAAACAAAACAAATCAAATTTGAAAGCTTCACTGCTAATACTGTTATTTTATAGCATAATTTGGTTTTAACGCCAAGTTTTTTATTTAGCTCTTTCAACTGTAAGTCTTCCCATTTCAGTATTGCTGCACTATAAAGTATTTAGGAAAGAGATCCTGCCTTGATCTTCATACTGGAAAGAGCTATGAAGTTTAGAGTAACACACATATGTTAAAAATGTATATTACAAAGTTGAAAATCGTGTTCTTAGACATAGCAGAAGGATAACTTGAACTCACGGGTACTAAGGTAGAAGCAATCAGATTTACTAAATATTACAGTCCACCTTTCAAAACCATTTAAGTGATCCAGGGTGTTATGAAGGATGTAAAATATTTCCAGTTTCCTCTGTTCCTGCTGATGGAAGGAAGAAGTGAAAGGTAAGATAAGCCTTGAGGAGTGAAAGATAAGTGTTATGGTGGGGAGGAAATCTGGGTACTTACCCCTGCACTGATGGATAAGTAATAGTTGCAATCACTTCACTGTGTAAGCAGATATTTTTTTATAAATTTTTTTTATTTGAAAAGTTATGCACAAATTTTCTTCAGCATTGCTGAGCCAAGCAACTCTGCTATACAAAATTTCCTCCACAAGAAACCATCTGATATCCGAATAACCTTAAAGACTAAAAGTTTGCCTTGAAAAATTCAAGCTAGAAATATAGCTCGTGTTTTTAGTAATATGAGTAAATAACCCTTGCATTGGTTAATTTTGTGATATTGCAGGTTTACTTTAAATAAGTAGCTTGTGCTTTTCTAAAACATACTCATGTTCAGTGACAAGTCTATTTTGGTTGGAGGTAATACCTACCGTATGGTTTGCGTGGGACTTCAGACTAAAAAATAGCGATGACCAAATCTGTCCAGAAGAATATACGATTATATTCTGCATTTTGTGCACTTTTAATAGGAATCTGTTCTACAGATTTTAATTTTTTCTTTTTTTTTTAATAGGGAAAAAACCTCAGAGGTGTTTATTTGTTTGTTTGGTTTTGGTTTGGGGTGGGATTTTTTGGTTTTTTTTTGTTTTTTGTTTTTTTTTGGTGGTGGTGGTGATTTTGTGTTTTGTTTTGCTTTCTTTCAGAAAATTTCTACCTGCCTACAAACTATATTTATTACCTATTTACCAGTATTTGAGCTTCTATTCACATCTATCCCCGAATGTGCCATTAATTGTCTAGAAGACCATACCTGAATTTTATAATCTAGCAATGAATGAGCATATTGGAATACATACGTGCAACAGCTTGTAACTTGTTGCTGTAGTAAACTACAGCATATCTCATATTTGCAGCCTGCTTGAAAGACTGCTGATGTTAACATCTGAACTACCCCCTTCCTAAGAATCTTCAGTAACATTTTAAAACTATATAGATCTTAATGGAAAGTAATAAACCCATTATTTTAGATTAGCTGTGTACTTGCTAAAACTATGTAGTACTGTCAGGAAGTGCTGCATAATTGGCTTATGACAATGGGCTTTAGTTGTCTGTGGTATCTCATTAATAGTTACCCCATCTGGACCTTTTTACAATCATCACAGTCTTTGTTATGCAATTTTTTTTGCATTGCACAATATCTTTAATGTACTATTTCAGTGAATTGTGCTTTTTGCATATTGAATTCTCTTACCTTTTTCTAATCTGATTTTTCCTGGGTTATCTCCCACTGCATCAGTTGCAATATCAGCTGGATCCTCGTCCATTCACTTAGCTGCTTTAAATTCTATATAGGCAGCTACGCAGTTGAACTTTGGCAGGGTGAGCTCATCCCATCTTTTTTAAGAAGATAAACTGAATGACATGGAGGCAACCATGTGGGTTTCATAGATAAGGTTAAAAAAACACCAAACACCAACCCTGGATGTTATCTGGTCTTCATAGGCATTGATTATCCAATGAAATATTTTGAAGGCAGGGTGTGGTTGGCTAAATTTTTGCTCCTCCCACTGTCATCTGCTACCCTTCCAGTTTCAGAGGGAAAAATACAAGCTTGTAGATTGAGTCATAACCTCACTTCTGCTCCTGACTCACTTGGGAGTTTGAGGTAAGTCATTCTACCTTATGTCTCAATCGCTCTGCCCCAGGACAGCAAGGAGAGAAGGAACTATGGAAAGTTATGCAATATTTTTGTAGATGAAAAATGTAGATATTGAGACCAGTATTATTATTATGCAGTACAATAATAATTTTGTGTGCCCAAAATGGATTTTTTACCTAGCTTCTTCCCCAAATAAAACATTTTTCCCCCGTTTTGTAATGAAAAAGTTTAAAGAAAGATTATGTTGTACCAAAGAACATCTTAGGTTACTGAAATACTTAAAAATTATTGTATTTCTCGGAGCAAAGCATACTCACCTTTCATCACCCTGTTCTCTTTTGCACCAATAACAACCAGTAATAAAGCTACAGAGTGGTGCAAGTTGATGACTTCTGAGACAAGGCCCTGACGTATGTGGAGTCTCACACAGAGCTGGCTCCTACTCCATACTTACACTCTACCCTGGTTGGTTTGCCAGCATTGTGAGGAAATGCTGAACTTTAAGAAGTGAACTTTTAATAGTTGAGCGTACTCCTTTGCACTTATGATATCAATAAATATACATTAGTTGTGGTCTCTTATGTTAGGATGTAAATTGTCTATAACTTGGCTATTTTTTTTCCTACTTTTGTTTACGCAAAAATACCTGGCTGTACACTGTAATGAGACATACTAGTAAAATATATTTGCTAAACCATAATAAAAAATCTGCTTGTTAAAGTGTAAGTTTAAACATGGATGCACTTCAACAAAATAATATACTGTGATAGCATAAGCAAGGTAAGGCTTGCAGCTTATGGTGGGGGGATACCATCACCCACATGAGCAGTAACTGCATTACTCTATGGTGTGGGCAAGAACAGAGCATGATACTGACAATAAAATCAATCAGTACCATGGGAAAGAAACGTATTTCCTACGTGGAGAAAGCACAGGTACCACCACTACTTGGCAGATGATAGCAGAGAGAGTAGTTTGCACTTTAGGGCTGTACTTTTGGAAAATGCTTGTTCTTCGTGTTGAATGTTTCAGTATGCTCCCTTTGAAGTCCATTTTCTAGACACACTTGGACCCTAAGGTGCAGGGGAGGGTTAGGTTGTCCTGGACCCGGTCTCAGAAGTGGAGTGTCAGGCCAGGGGCCCGGCTCTGGGCCCTTCGGGGCTCCGCGTGCCCGCTGACCCCGCTGCGGAGGCGCAACTGGTTGGCAGACATCAGTCCCCGCAGCGGGAAACTTGTGAGCCCGCGGCTGCACCTTTAAGTGCCCCTGCACCGCTGGCAAGCGCTACAGCTGCAAACCCTGTCCAGGCATGAAAGCCTCCCTTTCAGATGTTTTTTTTTCCTTCTTCCCTGTTTCTGCCTGACGGGTTTCGGCCTCCTGGGGGAATTTCCGCGGCTGGAGGCCCGACTGAGGGCGGGGGGCAGCGCAGTGGTCCGCCGGCCGCTCCCCCCAGGACCCGGCCTGGCCCAGCCTAGCCCAGGCCAGCCCTTGGGCCCGTCGCTGGCGGGCGTAAGGACCTGCGGAACCGTCGTCCCGAGCCCCGTCCGCGCCAGCGGGAGTGGGATGTTTCATTGTCCGGAAATGATGGAGAAGGAGTGACTGTGGCGGCGGGGGGACAGCGGGTGTGAGTGGAGAGTGTGCGCGCCCCGGCACAGGGGGAAGGCCCGCGGGCGCGGCGGGAGAGGCGGCAGCCGCCGGGGAAACAGAGCGGCGGCGGGAGGCGCGGAGTTCCCGCGGCGGGGGCGCGGAGGAGGGCCGGGCGGAGCGGGAGGAAATGCAGAGGTAGGGCGCGCTGCGCTGCCGGTCGGCTCCTACCGGGTCCCCCCCAAAAGCCCTGCCCCGGGCACCCCCGGCCCTCCGGCTGACAGCCCTCGGCCGCCCCCGCCCCACAGCCGCCTCCCCCCGGCCCCGCGGGTCCTCGCAGTGGGGGGCGGGCGACTCGCCCGCCGCCGCACCGCAAAGTTGCCGCTGCTTCCTTGCTGTCCCTGCTCAGTCTCAGTCCCCCGCCCCCAAGCCGCGAGTTTTCAGCACGAAATACATTAACGAGTGCTTTCATTTGCTTGTTCCTTCAGGGTCGCGTGTTAGTGTTGTTGGAAGGGGGTGCAGGCTGTCTGTTCCTCGGTGAGAGAGCTGGCAGATGTCCCAAGTGAGAGAACCTCTTCCTCCGGGGCCTGAAGGGCCAGAGCAAGCTCCGACTGAAAACAGCGCTTTGATCTCTCTCCCTCGAGGTAAGTTGCTTTAAAGTTTCACTGTAATTGTTGCACCTTTTATTTGAATGATACATTTACGGATTTGTTTTGTGGGTTTTAACCCCTCTCTTACTCCTCCTCCCGCTCCCTCCCCTCTTCGGTGTAACTCTGTAACACCTCTTTAGAGTTTTAACCAGAAATTCCTATGTAGAAAAAAAAAAAAAAAGAATAATAAATGCACTGTTGTGAGTGCTGGTTTTCAGTACTTGAAAAACTGCAGTCATTCAGAGGCAGATGCTGCTCCTTAAAAATCACTTTCTTGCTTCTCAGCTCTATTTGTGTTTAGAAGCTCTTTCCTCTAAAGATCTTCCAGGTCTTGCAGTAGAATGAGAAAGGTTGTTCCAGCAGCAGGAGCATTGTTCAAGTTCGAGGTCACTTTGCTGTTTTGTTCTTAGATTACTTTGTGATGCTTCAGTTGAAACCAATTTCTAGGAGTGTAAACTTGTTTTGTGCCAGCTGTTCAAAAGGTTGTTTGAAAGTACATTCATCTTGAAGAGAAGTTCTTTAAGTTATGTCTTGTTTGCATTTTCACAAAATACATTGGTATTCTGATCACCTTTATATAGGGAAGCTTGTCAAGGTGTAGTGCAGGTTATCTGCAAGGTAGGGAAGTATGTTTGCTTCCTGTGTCTTGGTCTTTGAAGATGAGACATTTTTTTTTTTCTTTTCAGTTTACAACTACAGTTTTGTTTTCCAGAATTCTGACAGGAGTTTTAAAAAGTCTCTGAAGAACAGACAAATAAGCTTGTTCAAAAACTGTGACTTTATTCATAACTGGTTAACTGGAACAGAGCCTGGTAACACAGTTGTGCAACTGTGGATTAAAGATGCAGTCTTGTTTTTGTAACTTGGAAAGTCAATAGCTATGTGAAATGAAAACTGAAGACTCATTTGAGAAACCAGAAAGTATCCGTAGCTAAGTAAAAAATGTTCTGGCAGGGATACATATTAAATTGGCTTATACTTATCTTATTGTTTGTTTTTTTTGTCTTAGAGAATGACTCATAACTTCTAAACAGTAAAAAAAAATAATAAAAATGATTAGGTACAGAAGATCAAGCATACAGAACTGATCTGTTAGAATCATGTTTTTGTCAGAAACATCAATAGCTGTGATATATGTTTATTTTCAGTGTGTTGTTTTTATTTGACATGTGATCAGGTGGCCACACTGGTTACATTCTGCATGTGGGCCATACATCCAAGTTACTGAAGTTGTAACTTAGTGAGCTAACTAGCCTGGAAAGTGGTCTGATTCTTACAGTGCCACTTTAAGCTGAGTTTTCACTATGAAATAGTCTTATTCAGTACTTGCTGTTCTTTTTATTAAAAGTAAGGAAACAAATACTTATCTGTCCAGAGAAAAGTTATGTGCAGAAAATCCTAATGACACAATTACAGCTCACAGCTGTTGAGGTGGAGGATTCTGAAATTACTTTTTCAGGGATCAGTAAGGTACAAAAAAGTGTAATATATTGATTCAGATTTGCTCATTGGCCACACCCTTCAAGGCACAGGCTCAATTTTAAACCATGTGTGTAGTTCATAGAAAGACAAGGCTATTTGTTTTTTTTTTTTTTTACAGAATTCATCATTCAAATATGTAATTTTTATTCTAATGAACTTAGGTTTAAGGATAGCTGTGGTTATTTGCTACTTTTTTTCTAGCTTAAGTCTGTTGGGGAAATGGGGGTGGAAAGAGGAAGAGGTGAGTTCATAACATTTCCAGTCTATATTCCAGCATTTCTGTTGTCAGCTTTGCAGTGTGTGGTTACAGGGTAAGGTAGTCCAGATATTCCAGGACTGGAGATCTAAGATAGTATGTCTGGCACTTTCAACACCCCCTACTCTTCCTATACTACCCCCAGAACATCTAAAAGTACACTGACTTCTCTAGAATTCAGCAATAATTTTAAAAGCTGTGGTTGAAATTCATAGTATTTCTGGAAATAGGCTAGAGGTATTTGGAAAATTCTGCAATAATTTAAAATAATTGCTACTTTACTTAGATTCACCTCATTGTATTTATGCGATGACTTCATATATTTACAGTGAGGTACTTCAAATCTGTGTCCACCTAGAAATAAGATTACTTAATAAGAAAAAACTGGCTTATGTTGTATGTATAATAAAGCATTAAGTGCGTTCTAGTGAGAAAGAATTTTTGATTGATAACAGCATGCTGTACTATACTTTCTATATTTGTTTAACTGGTGTAGATAACCGAGAATAAACTTCTCTTCTGTAGTTCTGTGAGGTATCATCAAAACTTCCAGAACTTCAAAGTGCTTCTTTTGTTCGCTGTCATGTAAATTCAGATGCTGAAGCCAAATTGTATTATTCTGTGAAAGGAAAAGAGACTTCAGTTGAATTTTAAATATCCCACAAATAGCTATCCCACAACCTAATTAAAAAAACAGACAAAAGTAGTAAAACTTAGGCAGATTGCAGGGATATGCATCAGTTGTGGATATAGTGAAAACTCTGGGTTGAGACATAGTTTGGCCTACAGTTGTGGCGTGCTCTGGCTTTCGCAACTTAAAAGACTTTGCTACTTTAACCAGCATGCCCTCTCAACATATGCCCTGTCACTGTTCTTCTTTGCTAGTTCATTACTGAATTAATGCATAAATATTCCTGAGATTATTGGACTTTGCCCCACCACAATTATGTGTGCTATGAGAGAGATCAAATGAAATCGTAGTGTCTTCTTTTGTGGCAATATCAGTAGTTAATTTCAGTCTTTAAACCGTTATCTGTGCCAATGGAGACTGTTACTCTAAGGTACAGGCTACAGGTTTAACCTAAAGTTTAACATAATATCTGCAAAGATTTAGTTATTTTTTCCACATCCTTCCAAAAGTGTAGCTCTACTTGTGCACCCTTGTTCAAGACCCTGCTCATGCTGTTTCTCTTCTATAGCTCCACAGGCCTTGAAATCAAATTATGACTAGTTCATTGCACACCTGTGTGCTATGCAATGTGGTCAGCAAATACTGTCATCTCTACATTCAGACCACTTCAGTTTGGCTGTAATCAAGTATTTTCTTCACTGGTAGGTACCAAAAAAATGTCCCTAAGCAAAGAATTTGACAATTAGTGACCATTAGCCTCTCTGCTTTAAGGAAAATGTTTAACATCTTAGAGGTCGTATCATGATTATTGCCTGGGTTATGGGTAGAGTTTTTTCATTAAGTCCTCTGCGTTTGAATAATCCATGGAATACAAGAGAGAAATTCAGTGAACATGGAACTATTTAGAGAATCAAGCCATGTTTTTGACAATGGAGGACTGTCATCTCTAAAGTATTTGAAATGCTTTTACCTCTGGTTGCATGTAACTAAGTGTAACCTAGAATAACAAGTGAATAATATTTAGCTTTCTCACTACTATTTACTACTGCTACTGCTAGTACCCTCTGTTAATGAAATTGAGCCTGATAATTGCACTTTAAGAACTTCCTGATGACTCTTTAGATGATGGAAATACACTAGATTTTTTCTTTTTTTTTTTTTATTTTAAATGGTGTGGGGAGGAGGATGGAGAAGTCCAGCAGAAATATTAAGAGTCAAGTTCTGTAAGTGACAGTTCGCTTTGGCACAAATTACGTCACTGATGCTGGAGGGAGGTGCAGTTCAGATTTGAAGTCTGAGGAAACCATGTTCAGCAACTAATACTTCCATTCAGAAAAGTACAAAAACCATGTACTCCTCTTCAAGAATGTGATTCAAACCTCTTCACGTTTTCTGTGCTTGGCTGTTTTCAAGATGAGGAGCACTAAAGGAACATGCTGACTAGATGAGATGGGGTGACAGAGGACTTACTGCAATGCACATTTGGACATTCTTGAGGCAATGATTACTATCATCATAATTATTGCACTTTACCAGCAGTGCCTCAGTGTTATGAGTAATGGATTTTTATTTTAACGGTTAACCAGTGCACTCAGATTGCCCAAATTTACCAAATACTTCCTCTATATTTATCTTACTACTTGCAATCTGACAAGAGTTCAGTGAATCCGTGTTAATTTCTTTCATTGCCGTCTCATTCCTGAGAGATCTATTGAACATTACTGACTAAAATACCTAAAACTTTCATAAGTGTCTAACTCTGGTTTGTCATAAAAATACACTTCTGCTTTCAGTTTCATGTTCATGCTGTTCCAGTTAAGTGATTCATGTACACATGGGTGTGATAGACTTGTATTTCATCGAGTTGACTGTAAAGGTCTTGCATCAAATTTGAAATATTTCTATTCCATCTCATAGGCTAATTTTATACCAGAATAATTCTCAAATTCCATTCCAGGCCTTCAGAAGGTAGATTTCTGTTTGTTTTAAACACTTGCTTTTACCTAGTAAGTTGCATCCAGCAGCGAGTGTGTTATGCTAGTGTTTTCATTTGGATCAGCAATGCAGTTTTGAAATGGATCTCCTGTTCGCCTCTGGTTTGGTTTGCATTTTGAAGTGATCCTGGAGAGTGACCTGGACTGGATTCCTTTTGGACAATATAATCTGAAAGATGCACTGCAGGAATGTGCCTAATGCACTCCAGCCACTAATAAGCCTGCAGACTTTGAGATTAAATCTGAGAGCTAGCCCAAAGAAGAAAATCCCCTGCATAATATGGAATGTATCCTTAAAATCAGCTCTTACTGTACAGGCCCACTTTTATTGGGCCATACTATTGCTAATACCAAGTATTAGCATGCTAATGTTGAGCCAAGTAATGCTTAGCATTTAATGAGCAACTAGTTTTGTACACATGTGAAACATTTTGGATGATTAACATAAATTTATAACTGACCACATGACAATTAGTGTCATTATTTGTGAAGTTTTTGCTTCTGTATTTGACTTAATGCTTTTAATTAATTAATGCGGAGTACCTGTGTGCATATTGCTAGTAATTTTCAATTTATCATGAGTGAAATTTGTCTAGGGCTGTCAAACCTGTAGTACAGTCATAGTTGTTGT